GTCCCTGGTCCGCACATGTGCATGTATCTTTTTGTGAGCTCTTTTCTTCACCAAGAGTCATCAGACTTCACTCTCTCTCATAGTTTTCACAGAGACCCAGACGCAGACCGCAGCCTGAAGCCTGACTCAAGCATTCGGCCCCGTGACGGAGCCCTCCAGCTCGGGCTGCTTGTTAATTCGCTCGAGCGCGGCCATCTCTTCAACGCTCAGCTCAAAATCGAAGAGGCTGACGTCGTCGCGAAAGTGCTCCGCGCTGCTCGCCTCCACGGTGAAGCTCGCGCCGGCCTGCGTGAGCCAGCGCAGCGCCACCTGAAACCCTGTCTTGCCGTGCCGCCGCCCAATCTCGGAGCAGAGCTCCTTGGCGTCGGCCGCGTCGCGAGAGAGGCGCGTGAGTCGGCCATTCCCCAGCGGCGACCAGGCCTGGACGTGGACGCCGCGCCGCGCGTTGGCCGCGATGACGCCGCTGTCGTGGTATCCCACGCAGAGCGGGAGCTGGTTGACGACCGGCCGAGCCGCCTTCTTGGTCGCACACACAACGTCCAGCTGAGCCGGCCGAAAGTTGCTCACGGCGAGGCTGCGGACGAGGCCCGCAGACTGCATCTCCTCGAACGCCCGCCACTGTCCTCTTATGCAGGCGTCGCTTGGGCCGGGGTAGTCTAGCATGATCATATCGAGATGAGTGATCCCGCCGGTACCGAACGCCTCCATGTTCTCCCTGCACCCTAGCTGAGTGAAGCTGTAGGCCGTGTCCTCATCGACCGCCCGGTTCGATACGACGCTGCCGCAGATGAAGAGCTCTTCGCGCGGGACGCCGCACCGCTTGATGGCTCGCGCAAAGCCCGCCTGGTTCCGCGCGAGCACCGATGCGAAGAAGTTGCGGAAGCCCGCCTCGATGGCGAGCAGCGTCAGCTTCTCTGCGGTCGCGTCATCGTATATCTGGAGGCCGAACGATGCGAGCGGAAAGATAGCACCATTGGAGAGCGTGACAGACGAAGGGTAGCTGCTCGCGGCGGCGACAGATGCTGCAGCGGTAGCAGCCGGCATAGCGGCAGCGCCTGGCACGATGCCACCGAGCGAGGCGCCATGTCGCGCCGCGTTGGCGTGGCGAGCGATACCAGTGAGGGGAGCGAAGATTGCATAGGGAGCGGTCGACTCCGTCTTTCGTCTTTTCTCTCTCTCCACCTTGTACTCTCTCTCTCCTGGTATAATGTAAGGGGTGGTGCGGCCGTGCCGGCCGCCCTCGCAAAGTCAAGAGTCACCGGTGGTCAACAGACCCCCTATCCGGGTAGGAGCCGGAACCCTGACACCTGGGGTTCCAACTTTTTCCGGGGTATGGTATGGCACGGTTTTAGGTCTATTGTTGGCAAATCAAGACACAGATTTCACACAGAATCACATCGGGAGGAAAGCGGCGAGTCCCATTTCCGGGGGTCCTTGTGGCGGGCTGCCACCCTGTCC